GGGGGCAGGGGTGGGAGCGGGTGTGGGGGCAGGGGTGGGGGTGGGGGTGGGGGCAAAGGTGGGGGTAGGGGTGGGGGCAGGGGTGGGAGCAGGTTGGGGGCAGGGGTGGGGGCAGGTGTGGGGACGGGTGTGGGAGCAGGTGTGGGGACAGGGGTGGGAGCGGGTTGGGGGCAGGTGTGGGGACAGGTGTGGGAAAGGGTGTGGGAGCGGGTGCGGGGGCGGGGTGGGGGCGGGGGTGGGGGCAGGGGCGGGGGCAGGTGTGGGAGCAGGGGTGGGGACAAGTGTGGGGGCTGCACCAGGAGCCTTCCCAACCCAAGAAAATGAACAAGCATAGTAAGAGCTGGAGATGAGTGACCCAGAGCCGACAAGGAGAAGACAGGTCAGCATCGCAGGCCTCCTGGAGGGTGTCTGGGGAGTCACAGAGGGGGTACAGGTGGTGCTGCTCCCCACACTGCTCCCATCTTCTGAGTCTAAACTGGGGGTACCATGGGGTCCCAGGAATCCTCACCCTTAGGAGGCAACCAGGGGGAATGTCCTGAATTTGGTCACTGTCTGACTGGGGAGACACCTGGGCTGACCTTGGATCGAGGTGAGACCTCTTTATTGCCCCCAGTGGGGGAAGGGCATGGAGCCCCAGGAAGGAAAGGGAGGGAAGAAGGAAAGGAAGGAAGGGAGAAAGAGAGAGAGAGAGAGAGAGGGAAAATGGACTTCAGCAGACAAGGAACCTGGCCAACAATGAGACAAAACCCAGAGAAGGAAGTTCCCTAGGAGGGCTTCGGGCACTGGATCAACCAAATAAGAACAGGGCGCAATGGCAGCCGCACTCAAAGATGAGGCCCTCAGCAGCCAGCGGCAGAGAGGGAGACTGCGGAACTCCAGAAGTGGGGAACCCACACGCGACATGGTTAGCACTCAATGAACCTGAACCAGCAGGAACGGGAGAGGCATGGCTGAAATCGGATCACCCACGCAGACGGCTGGCTCTGAGTAGCACAGTGAAGGCCCAACAAGATCCAGGCACCGGAGAAAGGGTGAGGACATGTTCGCTGGGGAATCCTTCCTGCCTCTGGGTAGAGGCCTCAGCCAGGTTTCGGTGTTTAAAATATATGTGAAGCCGGGTGCAGTGGCTTACACCTGTCATCCCAGCACTTTGGGAGGCCAAGGCGGGTGGATCACCTGAGGTCAGGAGTTTGACACCAGCCTGGCCAACAATGGTGAAACCCCGTCTCTACCAAAAATATAAAAATTAGTCTGGTGTGGTGGTGGGCACCTGTAATCCCAGCTACGTGGGAGGCTGAGGCAGGAGAATTGCTTGAAACTGGGAGGCAGAGGTTACAGCGAGCTGAGATCGCAAATTTGCACTCCGGCCTGGGCAACAGAGCAAGACTCCATCTCCAAATATATATATAAAGTATTTAGATATGTGATGACGAAGCCAAGAAAGAAGTGTGCATGGAGTCCCAGGAAAACAAGGTGCAGGATGCATTCCACCCAAATATGGATCCTACTCTACCTCCTGAGCTGAGGGTAAAGAAGATTCTGCAGGCGCACAAGACAGAACCAGCAAGTCACCACAGAGGGGGCGACTTCATTTACAAAACACTGAATCAACACATTACAAGAATTATATGGTTATGGATTTTAATAAACTGAGCATGAATTCATGAAACTTAAAAAATATTAAGAAATGCATTGAAAAAAGTAGCGTAAAAAAAGACAACTCATATGGTTAAATAAAAATTACAAAGGTCCTGAGCCAATTAATGGTGGGTAACAATGTCATTCCAAATGCCTTTAAGGTTTCAATCTTCAGGCTGCAGATTTTCTGCAGTGAACTAAGCATCAGAGGAACACAGTTCCATGCTGATCAAGTTCTAAAGGGAAGAAATGGTCTAGGACTATTATACCCAGCCAAAGTGTCACTGGGGTCTAGAGATACAGGGACGATGTCCTCAAATGCAAAGGAGCGTGGGAGAATGCGGCACAAATGCAGATGCCCTTGTTGGGAGAAAAACCACCACAGCTGCCTCAAACATGAAGCTGCTAAAAGCAATGCCCAAGAAAGAACTCCAGCATGAGGAAGCCACATGAAGGGGTGGGTGGGCAGCAGGAAACCCACTGAGGTGGCTGCAGAGCATTAGAGAATGACGCAAAATATGGTCATAGAACAGGTAAGCGTTTAAACCTTGGTAGAGTAAAAACAATGACAACGTCAGTATCACCGCGGGCGTCCAGGGCACCGTGATCCAAAATGAAGATACCCCAGCCAACTCTCCTCTCCTCTCCGAGCCCACTGAGGTGTCATGCCAGGCGCACTGAAAGACCCATCCTCAGAGAATGGCGGATTCCAGGGTAGGGAAGGTATAAGAGTGTGGAAAATCTAGTTTTTTTTAGAGAACAAGGAAGCTGCAAAGAGGAACAGGGTCGTCTCCAAGGGCACAGACGCCAGTGGGAAGGGCTCCCGTTGGCCAAAGTAGAGGCAGGGGTGCCCAGAGGGGACAAGGATTCAAACATGGCGGGCGGCCTCCTGCCTCTGTGTGCTTACACATGACCACAAATTCAGTCGCTCCACCACACATTTATTTTTTTGCCTTGAGACAGGGTCTCACTTTGTTGCCCAGGCTGGAGTGCAGTGGCATGAACATGGCTCACTGCAGCCGGGACCTCCTGGGCTCAAGTGATCCTCCTCCTGCCTCAGCCTCCCGAGTAGCTGGGACTACAGGCATGCACTGCCATGCTTGGCTAATTTTTTTTTTTTTTTTTTGAGACGGAGTTTCACTCTTGTTACCCAGGCTGGAGTGCAATGGCGCGATCTCGGCTCACCGCAACCTCTGCCTCCTGGGTTCAGGCAATTCTCCTGCCTCAACCTCCTGAGTAGCTGGGATTACAGGCACGCGCCACCATGCCCAGCTAATGTTTTGTATTTTTAGTAGAGACGGGGTTTCACCATGTTGACCAGGATGGTCTCGATCTCCTGACCTCGTGATCCACCCGCCTCGGCCTCCCAAAGTGCTGGGATTTCAGCTGTGAGCCACCACACCCGGCCGACGCAAATTTTTCAAGCATGCAGTCCTGGAGGTCAGAAATCCTGAGACCTAAGTGCTGGCAGGGCTGCTCCTTCTGGAGCTCCAGGGAGGCGTCCATTTCCTTGTCTTGTCCAGCTTCCAGTGACCACCACCCTCCCCGGCGGGGCCCCCCTCCCATCGCTCTGGTCCTTGCTTCCACCACGAAATCTCCTTATCCAGCGACTCTGAGCCCTTCCTCCCTCCCTTAGGACCTCTGTGGTGATCTTGGCTGACCCAGGTCATCCACAATTCCCATCTTCAAGGCCCTTCACTTCATCACGTCTGCTAATCCGCCTCGCCGTGCGGGGTTACATAGTCACAGGTTTCTGGGATCAGGACATGGACCTCTTCCGGGAGCATTATCTGGCCCACGACCTGGCAGCTCCATGGAATAGCATGGGTCCACACCTGATGCTCCGAAGGGGGAGTCCAGGGAAGCCCCCTCCTTGGTGCCAGCACTTGAGGCTGCAATTCAACCCTGCCTTACTGTGAAAACCTGTCGTTAAAGAGAAAAGGATCAAGAGTGTTTCCAGCAGGAATTATATTTGGGGGTGCACAGCCAGCTCCCATGGACGAAGGAGCAGCAGAGCGCAGAGGAGAAAGTGCTAACATCGGTGGATGGTGGAAGAGAAAAACATGGCCAGCACCTCCCAGGCCCTAGCGGAAGGAAGGTCTTGGGCAAGGGTCTTCAGAGGGGGCTGAGAGCCATAGAAGGGGCACTGGGTGCTTGAAAACCCACAGGCCACCTTGAGGCGACCAGGGGGAAGCACCTGCCCCATGGAGGGGTTGGGCAGGCCCCAGCAGGTCCACTGGGCCATCTTTGACACAGGCAACCAGGACCCAAGGCCACACACAGACACCAAGGGCAGCTGCAACATTCTCGAGCCTCAATCAAGTAAGCTCTGTCCCGCAGGCCTGCAGACCCAGCTTCCACTCTGCAAAAAACCCGGAGGCAGAGGAAGAAGCCACACCGCCCACAGAGGCCACCGGACACGTGCAGACGGTGGAGCCTCCTGCAGGACGCGAGGCCTGGGTACGTGCTACCTCTGTTGCGTAAGGAGCCACCACCAGCCTGGAAGCTGAAAGCAGCACCCACTTATCACTTCCCGGCTCTGCAGGGTAGAAGTCGCGCACAGCTGAGCTCAGTTTCCTGCCGAGGGTCCCATGAGGCTGAGATGGAGGCGTCCGCAGGGCTGGGCTCATCTGGAGCTCAGCAGGAATCTGCTCCCAGGCTCTGATCCCGCCCTCTGCAGAATCCCCTCCTGCACTTGGGGGACAGGGCACCCCCTTTCTCTCGAGGGCTGCCTCCTGCTTTGGCACACACCCTCGTCTCCAAAGCAAGCATGCAGCGCTCAGCTCCCTGTGCCTTCCAAGCACTTTGCCTCTTCCGCCACCGGCCAGAGGAAACACTGCTTTCAAAGGGCACGTGTGAGTAGACTGAGCCCACCTGGATAACTGCCTTTTAATTCATTCAAATTCAACTGATCCACAAGCTTAATTAATTAATCCTCGGTGCGTGCCTGTCTCCCAGTTTCTCCTTTGTATAAGGAGGGGCCATAGTCCTATTAAATTAACCTCATTTCACCTTAATTTCCTCTAAAGAACCGATTTCCAAATCCAGCCTAAGGTTCCACGGGCTAGGGCTTTGATAGATAAATCTCGGGGACACAACTCAATTCCTTACACCGTGTCACGTGACAATCACGGTGCGCTGTCTCAGATTCGCAGTCCCCGGACAGGGTGGGAATCCTGGGGGCCACACCTGGTGGGAGCTGATCCAGATAGAAAAGGGGTTTGTGAATCATCATAACCAGACCTGACACGACGTTCCTGGACTGAACACACCACTGGTAAGGACATGCCGGGCCGCTTGGGAGATGTCACTCTAAGCTGGGCTTGGCTGCCCGTCTCCCAGGACCCCTGCCCGGCCCTCTCCTCTCCCCTTCCCAGCCCGTGGCTGCCGCCCTCACTCTGTGGGCCCGGCTCTCTGCCCCTCCGTGGGCATGGCCTTGGCCTCCATGAGTTCGTGGGGAGATCCCTCCTCCCTTCCTGTCCCGCGGCACAGGGCGTGAGTCTTGGGAGACCTAATTAGGGCCTCATGAAATCTGGGCTTCCCAGGCGGGCTCTGGGTGGGTGCTGCGTCCTCAGTGAGGCTGTGGGGGTCTCACTTCCTAAGGAGTGGTCTGGGGGTGGCTCGGCCGCTGGCTGTTTTCTAACCCACATAGAAATGACTGAGTCTTCCCGAAGTTCTCCCTCTGAACAATCGTGGGATTTCCTGGTGTCGGGGGTCCTGGGGCTGCCACAGTGGGGGACATCCATGTCTCTGGCTGATATCCAGGGTCCCGAGGCTGCACTTCTCCCTTGGGGGCCCTAGGGAGGCCCCTCCTCCCTCCAGCTTCCGGGGACTCTGAGCGGCCCTTGGTGGTGGCCACGTCTCCAGGCTGTGCTCCGCCTTCACTGGCCACCTGCTTCTGCCTGTGCTAAACCTTTCCTTTTTTGAGTGTTCTTAAGGCAAGCTTGTTTTCGTAGTAAAAGGCGTATCACAAACGTTACCCTTTCAACCCTCTCTGCCGCCCTCCCTTGAGGCCCATGTGACTGCATTTTGTGCCGGCCAGGATGGTCTGCCCATCACAGGGTCCCTCCCTCCCTCGCTCTTGAGAGCCCAGTCCCAGGCTGTGGTTTGGGATGATGGGGACGGTCATCCTTCGGCTCACCTGAGAAGGGCCCTGGTGTGGACCCACACTCTGGGTGGCCCTATGCTCCTCTGCGGGCCCCACCTCTGTCCGGAGAATTCAGGCTGGCAAGTGGGGGCTGGAGGAGCCTCGCCCAGGGGCCGGGGATGGGGAAGTGTGGCCACCTTTGGCGTGGGGGGCACTGCCCCGCCTGGTGCCACATCTCCCTTCAAAGGCACAACAGCACCACCAGGCACGGGGGTCCTCCCCTCCCAAAGGTGACACATGGCTGGGCTCCCCCTCCCCACTCCCAGGCCCCTCAGGCTGGGTCCTGGCTAATCACTATGGAGGAGGCCCTGCAGAGAGAGAGAAACTGATGGAGATGGGGGGGGGGCGGAGAGAGAGATGGGGAGGGAGAGGGAGAGGGAGGGAGAGAGAAGGAGATAGATGGGGAGGGAGGGAGGGAAAATGGGAGGGAAAGAGGGAGAGAGGGAAAATGAGAGAGGGGGAGAGAGGGGGAGAGGGAGGGGGAGAGGGAGAGACGGAGGGAGGGAGAGGGAGGGAGGGAGGGGGGAGGGAGAGACAGAAAGAAAGAGAAAGAGGGAGAGCGAGGGAGGGAGGGAGAGAGGGAAAGAGAAAGAGAGGGAAGGAGGGAGGGAGAGACGAATTAATTAGCTAATCTATCAGGTTGGGTCGGGGCTGGGCCGAGCCCCGCCTGGGTCTCCGTGGGGTGGGTGCACAGGAGAGCCTGGGTGGCCTGGGTTTCCTCGCTTTATATTCCTAACAGGTCCCACCTCCTCAGGGACCTACTGAGGCTCGAAACGGGGTGGGGGTGAAGATGTGGCCCTGACCAGGTGGCGAGGCAGCGAAGCCAGGGGAGCTCTGAGCTCAGACCCTCCCCCATGGCCACCCAAGACGGGGCGGCCTTGTTCCCCGGGGCCTTCTGTCCCGGGCCAGCCTCATCCAGTCCCTGGAAGGGATACGAGACCCAGGGAGGCTCCAGAGGGCCCTGCAGGCTGGGGGTGTGCCCTGGGGGCTGCTGGCCCCGTGCCCAGGCTGCGGGCGTTCTCTGCCCTGTAGGTGCAGTGAAAAGCGAAAGGCTGCCATGGGCAGGCCAGGAAGCTGCCCTCACCGGGAGCCCGGTCTGCCGGCGCCTCGATCCCGGACTTCCAGCCTCCAGAACTGAGAAATAAATCTCTGCAGCCAAGGCTGCCGGGTGTGTGGTGCTTTTCCATCACAGCTGGGAAGACGGAGATAAGCGTAAACACACTTCCACCCATTCCATCTCAGCTGGATTCGGCCGGATGATGTAAACGGAACACTGGGGGAGGCGCACTGGGAATTACAACCTGAAGCCCAAATGGATGGCGGTGTCCCGGGGTGGAGGATGCCAGCCCCCGCCTGCTGGGCATCTGTGTTCTGTTTCATGCTAATTCGGGAGGAGTTTGATTTTTTTGTCACGCACATGAGTCCCCGGAACATGGGCTGGGTGGTGAAGCCTCATGCCCCACTGTCCCAGCCCAGGGGTGGGATGGGGGATGCAGCCCGAGGGAATGTGGATTCGCCCTCTCAGGGTCTCCTTGGGTATCCCTGGGGTGTGGTTGGGGGAGCCAGAGCCCCCCACGTGAATCAGGAAGATGGAAAGGCACTGCCTGGTGTGCTACCTCATTCCCGAGGACTGAGCCAGCCTGGGCCCAGGGCGCCAGGATCCTCCTTCAATCCCCCTGCAGCCAGGTGAAGTCCCACAAGACTCCGTTCACCTGTGGTGGCCCCTGGTCACCGACAGCCTCTGTGGCCCTCCCACCCTCCTGTTGATCCTGCCCGTTCTTCGACCACCCAGGGCTGGAGGCAACCCAGCCCCTGGAACTCACACTGGGAGGGAGAGCCAGGGCCAGGAGGAAGGGGTGGCCCGCCCTGGGAGCCACAGTCTCCACAGCAGAGGTGTCGCCTTCCCCCAACCCTGACTCAGGCCCACCTGCCAGGCCCCGGCTTCCTGGTAGGGACCTTAGGTGATGAAGGTGAGCAGGCCTGGCCTCCAGCCATGCCTAGTAGAGTGGGGGAGGCAGAGAGGAAAGGGCTGGAAAGGGACTGGAAAAATCCTGACATTTCACTCACCCAGGACACCTTAAAGCCCACGGGACCGGCCAGAACTTTTGGACGCCATCCCAGGGCCTTTTCTGCTCGGGTAAACCAGACCTGACTCAGTCATGCAGGCAGCACACCAAGGGAGTCCAGGAAAGGCGGGGAGGCCGCGGCCGCTCCAGGCTCATCTGCTGGTACACGCGTGGCCCGTGCCCTTCCCTGGCCAGGAGCCCCCAGCCTGCCTGGGCCCCACTGGTCTGGCCCAGGCCATTTCTCTGGCCAGCCGTGTCCTCCCAAGCCAGTAGGTGTTGGATCTGGACAGGGCCCCAGCCTGCTGAGGACGAGAAGGGCCAGGGGCAGGACTAGGGTCCCACCTGGCCCCTCCCTGCCCATTAGCGCCGCTGCACACAGCAGGATGGCCCTGGGCAGAATGTTAAATATAACAGCACCCAACTCCCCTGCTGCCACCCACCACCTTCCAGGGGCTTTGCAGGCCAGCATTTCCCTGAGCTCAGCAGCTCTGGGTGGGACGCGTGCTAGGGGACCCTGTGCTGGAGCGGAGTGGCTTCGAGGCTGGGGCCAGCCGGGCAGCTCAGGCCGAGTGCTTGTGGGCCACTCCAGCCCCTTCTGGGGGTCCCCAGTCCAGGGGTCACGCCTCCTAAACCCAGCTCCAGGCCTCTCCTGCCTCAGCTCTCATCCTGCATGGCTCCCTGACTCCTCCTCCAACCTCCACTGCCCCTGGGCTTGGCTGTGTGTCCCCCACACCCCACCCTCGGTCAGGCCTGGCCATGTCCTTCCTCCTGCCTGTCCCCCTCCATTTCAAAGCTCAAGCTACACCTGAGTCTGTCACATGGGGACCTGGGGCCCTAGGCAGGAGCAAGGTGGTGTAGGCACAGCTCAGCCCCGGCTTCCCCAGAGCAGCCCCAACAGAGAGCTGACCTGTGTCACAGGTCCCGAGCAGGCCACTCAGGCCTTCACGCAGAAATTGTGGGCTCCATGCCCTTCAGGGAGCTGGGGCTGGCTCGAGGGCCCAGATGTGCCTTCTCAGCTAACTGTCCCACAGTGGCCTTCGGAGAGCAGGTGGGGGCGGGGGTGGGGGTGCAGGCAGGACCCACACCCTGAGAGCCCTGGGAGAAGCAGAGCAAAGCTCCCTGCGGAGGAAGGCTGCTGGGGCTCCCCCCTCTTCAGCAGGGGCTGCGCTGGTGGGTGGGGGTCAGGATGATGGGGGTGGGGGTGATGGAGGTGGGGAGGGGACAGGAGGAGATGACGAAGCCTGCAGGAGCTGGCAGGATCCAGGCTCTTTGCAGGAGGGATGGTTCTAGGAGGCGGTCACCACAGCCTGTCCCCCGGGGCTCGAGACTGGGAAATCGGTCAGTTATTAAGGATGACAGGTGAGTGCTCAGAAGGCAGGGCTGTTCCTGGAGATGTCCCCACTGCAAGCCCTCCTGCTTGGAGGCCTGGTGGGGCCTTCCCCCTGTGAGAGGGGCCTCTCTCTGTCCCCAGCTACCCTGTCCCTGCGGGGCGGCCGGATTCCTGGCAGTTCAGCGGGGGGTGCGGTTGGGTGAATGGAAGGGGTGCATCCGGTGGGGGGTCTGGTTCGCTCACTCCTTCTGCACCCGCCCCTGCTCCTGTAAGGCCACAGGGTCCCTGCTGGATCTGCTGGCCCCAGCCACGGTTGCTGCCTGCGGGGCTGGCAGGGGTCCGTCCTCCATGCAGGGCCTGCGGCCCCGTGTTCCCGGCAATGCCGGGCCCTGTTTGTGGTCCACTCTTAGCTTGTTGTGTGAAAAAATATTTGGTGTTTCTCAACTCCAGAGAACCAAGTTGAGTTCCGTTC